AAGATAAGTCGTTCTCTGGGACCAGGAGTGTATTTGTCCGACGTTTCGAACCTTTATACCTTTATGCAAGTAGCCTGCTGTCGTCTCTTTGTAGGAACTGAAACCTAAAAGCGTGCTGCGTCGTGTAAGCTGTTGAGCAGAATTTTTTGACCGTACTTGGTATTACCTCTTGATCCTGCTTACGAATTCCCACCACCACCATCACCAATTTTGTCTCCTCTCCTTGACAGAGGAACTTTAACTGAGCCAGCTCCTTGCATTCGTCTTGCACAACCCGCACTCTGTTTAGTTAATTATATCAACTGCATGTTATAGTTCCCAAAAATTGAGGCATACACTTTCCGTTATTTAATCGGTCTGTTTGCTTCTCTATTAAGGTGGAAAAAGTGCAGCGAGGGGGATCAGTCGTTTACCGTGTGCGGACCGTGGATACATTGGACAAGAGCACAGTAAGTCCCTCGCATCTTCCTCACAGTAAAAGCCCCAGAAGACCACCAACATATTTTCTTCTCCTTCATAGTTGAAGTACTGCAATATTGCTTCGGTCTGTAGCATAGTCTCTAATATACTGCAATTAATTCCGATGTGAGGGAAAATTATTCACCATGAATTTTGCCGATATGTAATTAGCCTAAAAAATATGGCGTTTAGCCAGTCGAAACAATCTAAAAATGTGCCTTTGCCTCTGACTATCTTTTTATCCTTTTTTTCGCCTACACCAATAGAAGTCAACGGAGGTGGAAGTTACGGAACAGGAGGCCGAGGGGACAGACTCACAAGAAGAACGCCAGCCGCCTTCAAAAGTGGATACTGAGCAGGCTCCGTCCAATGGACCACCTAATTTCGATTTCCAGAGTGCTCGTAGTCGAGAAATTCACTCCTTTTTGCGTGGCTCAACCTGTTTGTCTGGAGGTCTTGGATGGTGGAAACATGAAGTCTGTTATGGCCGTAAAATCATCCAGTACCATGAGGTAATTCCGGCGTCAATTTGCGTCGATTTTCTTTGCAGAAACCAGAGCTACAGTCAGAAAATCGTTAGCCTTTTCTAGCCTTCCGAGCATAAATTCAGTAGCTAAAGCCCGCCTAGCATGGTAGACACTGCACACATTAACGATTCCTCAAACAAACCAATCACTTCATGACCCCTCAGGACACCGTCAGTGGTAACCCTAAACGCTGTCAGCTCCTCTGGCACTACCATTGGTTAGAAAATTTGCTCCGCTCTCCCCCACTTACTTGTTTAGAGCATGGGTAGTGCTTTTGCCGATGTATTTCGAGCTATTCTTTCCGACCGTCGATTCCGACGATGTCCACTGTGTGCTCCACAGTGCGATGGTGCTCGGATGGTGAGTTACGCGATGATTAGTTTTAAGTTGTTGCATCTCCCACACTCTCCCCCAGCCGTCCGACAGCAAAAGAATGGAGGCGATGACATGGATCCCAGTTCACACGGCCTGGGCTTCCATGTCACAGATTCCATCATAAACCACCTGACCCCAGCCTATATTTAGCCAGGATTTGGACGCATCAAGAAAGTAAAGGTGGCCGTTTGGATCCGGGCTCATGCAGCCTGGCCCTTCGTGCCACACACGACAGTTCGACCGTCGGTGTCGACGAGGTCCACCGTGAGCTTTAGGGCGGAACGGTGACTTGCGCTTGATTATAGTATGCATCTACCTCATTCTCTGTTCCAATACCCCATCTGGAACCGGTGTTAAGACAAAATCAGAAAGAATTGAGATGAAAGAGGGCGCAGGCCCACGCACTGTGGGTCAACACAATCAGAAAACCATAAATAAGCGGAGCGGTTCGGATCCCAGCCGAGTGGTAGTGCCATAAAACCCACATTAAGACGGAGCTATTGCAGCCTGACTCTTAGACCGCCAGTCGCCACAACACACTGGGTTGACC